TTAAAGCTGAACCATGTGCAGTGTAATGTTTTCACCTATTCCATATCAGCAGTTTTGGTCAACACTGTTTCACGCTGCTGGTTTACAGCCCCAGCACCAGATCCCACTAATTTTGAAGATTTACGACGTGACAATGAAAAGATGCTAAACTAGCCAAAACTATGGTCGTAAAAATATTTGTGTTGTGATGAAGGTCCATTGTTCAGCCTCAGTAAGGAGGCAGACTTGACACAGACTCTGCTGCAAAGGAGGCACAGACATGAGAAGGAAGAGGAGGAGAAACAGGCATCACAGTGACACCATCATGTTAAATTACAGCTCTTCAACGAGCCCATCATTGTAATCAGCAGGGCTGTGTCACTGAAGAGCCTCTTCTGACTGACAGTCACGGACCTCTCTGCTTCTACAGCAGGTTCTCGGTGTGATTTCACAGAAAACATACATTAAACAATCACAACAATTATTTTTATTTTTTATGTGCATTTGCAAAACAAGAAAAGAAAAATACGTGCATTTGCAAAACAAGAAAAGAAAAACTGAGAGGGCGCCAGAGGCTTCCGTCCCAACTTGTTCCCCTGTCGTTCCACATATTTATCATTCATCAGTTCCAACAAATCCAATTCAATCCTCCTACAGAAAACAAATACACTGAAACTTTCTGTTCCTCCGTCTCTAACCCCTGCAGCCCCAGAAGCCGCTGACACCGTGCCTCTATCTCCCTCTTCTCCCCGGTAACTAAATTCCACAGACAGCTTCCCATGTCAGCCAATCAGATAACAGATAGCCCCAGATTTCCAGTCACTATAGCTCGCCTTTAATCCCAGTAAAATACATTTTTGCTACGTAGATAAGATCCTGCAGAATTTTGACTTCATGCGGCATCTGAGAAATGGAAAAACCCCAAACCCAGGAGGGCAAAGAGACACAGAGATGGACTTGGTATTAAAAGAAACAAAAATGAAGGACAGAGGGAAAAGAGGGTGGCCGTGGAGGGAGAATAACAAGGAATGAATAGGAGCAGAGGAGGGGGAGTTAATGGCGAGAGGGTAACAGAAACCCTCTCTTAGCTAATTACTCCAACGTCAGTTTTGAGGAGTAGAGAGATGTTAAAGGAATAAATGTGCCGCAGCAGGAACAACATTTCGTGGCCGTGTTTTTCCCCACTCTCCATCTTTCGGGCCGTGGGCCTCTGAAAGGCACAAGCACCTCGTTTGCATCCGGCAAATGAGATGCAGGAAGTGAAAGAGGAGATGGAGAATCGAAAAGGGCAAGAGATGTGAGGAGGCAAGAGTGACGGGTGAGGGAGGAGGTGAAGTGGAGAGCCGAATTTGCATCTCTGATAAATTTAGCATCTTAAATGAAGGGCTGGGTGGCACTGCAGTACTCAGACCTTTGGAATATGTATTTCAGGGAACCACACTCCTATTTTCTCAGAGTCTCATTGAAAGTCTCATCTGAGCCCAGACGCAGCCTGGGAGTAAATTAGTTTCCTCTCGAATCCCAATCTCGGGTTTTGCTACACGTCACAGTGGAAAGGAATGGCTTTTCCTGTTCCAATTAATCTCTGCTTGGTCAGCTGTCGGTGTGAATTATCTTAACCATCAAGCGTAATAAATGTATCAGACATTGGCGGCGAGGGAGAAGACATACTGACAGCTTGCACTTTCATAGTGCACTCTGGAACAAATAATACAAGCATAATAGAAAGGAGCAATGGCACAATCCTTGAATGCAGAATCAATACTTTGCTCTGTGATGAGATGCAGCCTAGGAAGACTCTGCGGTAAATAATCAGCATTGCACGTGCATTGAAGTTTACTGTCCTTACGTGGGAGTGACGTCTTTATAGTTACAGTTACCGTAATTCATTTACAGAGCTGCAGAAATCAACATGTTTCTCTGTACGGATTTGGAAAAACTACACTTCTCTTGCAATGGATTTTTACTCTAGCACATTTGTGTCGTCATCGTATGTCCCTAATTTATATTCATTGTTTAAAGCATTGGGGGTGAAGTGTCCCACTACTGGGAGACTGCTGCTCTCAGACACCATTAAGTATGGTAATTAGTGATTGTTTACTTTTAAATCCAGTGAAAGCTGAGCCACAACAACACATAATGCCCTCCATGTTGTACAGCAGCCACCAAATCCCAGCAGAATATGCTAAAAACAATCAATAAAAATACTTAAATGGTCAATCGTTCTTTGGGGCACAAGGGCATCAGAGTCTTTGTGGTCATTTCCCCAACTGGTGGCCAAACTGGGTCATTTCTCATGGCAGGACCACAGCGATAGTGACCCATTGACTATTAAATGTGTCGTGATGCCACTGCTGTGCATTGTCTGCAACTGACTAAGCTGCTCTAAATCCATCTGTGAAAAGTGGCACGTTTGGCCAAAACTCAGAGGCCCAGATTTGTTCTTAACCACTTCTGGACAGACTTAGGACAGTCATGCCATCTGTGGTTTCTGCCTTTTTGAGCAATATCCAAATTGTGAAACAAACTCAGTGCCTGGCCAGAATCAAACAGATGGGTTTTTTTAAGTGTCATTTCAGTCCAGTCTTGTCCTGCTCACAAAACCTGTTGTTTTTTAAGTGTCATTTCAGTCTTGTCCTGCTCACAAAACCTGTTTGTTGAAAGGGAAA